TGGTGGTAAAACTTTTGTTATCGGTTATGTGGTTTAATGCAGTTTATGAGGCACATAATCTATCCAAAAAATGTTTAGTTAATATTAAAATTGTTAAGTATTATGACATAATTGTGTTCTGGAGAATTGTACTATTTTTAGTAACATAATTTTAAAAATGTTCAAATTTCTAAAATACAACTTTTTCTCCGGTGAGAAATAATTTAAACCTTACGAATTTCACACAATATTGTTACACATGTTGACTTTTTATGGTAAAAATTCTTTTCAGGGATAGAAAAAACTTTAACGTTAATTTTCTTAAATGAGTACCACTAATTTTAAATTGATAGTATGATAGAAAAAGAATTTTGTTCTTATAATTTTATTTATACAATCAATCGTTCGTCTAACTCAGCATGTTATTGTTAAGTGTTTTTAAGCCAAAAGTCCATTGTTATTCTGCAGTTTTGTATACAGAAGTCATTGATTACTTCTGTATTAATGTCTATTAATAGACATTAATAGACACATTCTATTATATTCAATACAATTTTAGTATCATACGTTATATAACGACTAGTGTTACTACCATAAAAATAATTAATGGCGCATTGAAACAGATTTTTGTTGCTCCTTAGTATTACAAAAATCAAATTAGTGATGAATTTCTATTTTAAATTAAAATTTTTAAACAATTTTAAAATCAAACGGGTGGTTGGATAAAAAAATGTTAAGAGTAAAATTGTAAACATAACTTATTGTTAATTAGATATAAACCTTTAAGTGAATTAGGTAGCTCATTATTTTTTTTTTATGACGTCATAATTCGTAGATTTGCAGAATTAGCTAACAATTATGTCTTTTTCAACAGATATGCTTAAAGTGTGGTCGTAGAGCACATTGTTGCAAGTTAACATAATAATAATTAAATATTTATCAAGTCTATCCCTTACATCTTATAAGGGTATCAACGTGTTTTTTTCAAATAGATTAAATGTTAGAAATTAATCCAACTAAAACAATTGTTAACGGTATGTAATTGGTGCGTGGTAAATAATGAACAAGTATTTTGGAAGTTATTAACAGTTTTAAATATTAAGTGAAGGCGACCTGCGGTTTATATTATTTTTATAATTAAGCATTACTCTGCCACGTAATCTCCCACAAAAGTATAAAAATGTTGAAATACAAAACAACTTTTTTTACTGAGTATTCAAATAAGTAGCAAATATGAAAATAAAAAAAAAAAAAGTTCATATTAATATTTATTCATTATTATTTTTTAGAGTTTTAAAGTCTTAAAAATTTCTTTAGTTTTAGAAAACAACTGTTGAAATGATGAATTTGAAGAATTATCATCATCTTTATCGTCCTCATCTTTGTCAAACTCATCTATATCAGGTGCTTCACCTAACATAAATTCATCCATTTCAGACTCATCTTTGTCAAACTCATCTATATCGGGTACTTCACCTAACATAAATTCATCCATTTCAGACTCATCTGTCTCAATCTCATCCATGTCAGGTGCTTCACATAACACAATTTCATTTATGTCAGACTCATCTGTCTCATCCTCATCTGTCTCATCCTCATCTGCCTCATTCTCATCTATCATATTATTTGGTGGATTAATCAATTCATATGCTACTTTTCTTTTTTTCAATAACCATGCTGAAATAAAATAAAATAGTATTAATTTAAAGAAAACATTAATTTAATATTTAATATGCACCTTCATAATTCAGATTTTTTACACTTTCAAAAGGTTTTAATACATGTTTTATGATATCTCTATTCTTGAGAACTGCTTCTAAGACACTTGAAAAATCATTTTTAGATATTAAACCAGTGTTTGACGTATCTAAATAATGAAATCTTTTAAGGAAATTGTTGAATAAACCCACCAATAGTTTTGAAACTTTAATATATTCATTAGTCGAAATTTGTACAAAATTTCTAAGGCTTATATATTCATTTTCTAAAAAAAAAAAAAATTATTAAACACCAAAAATAAAAAATGTATGCTTTCATGAAAAAATGCAGAATTTTTTCTTTTACTAGTATTAAAATAAAAAAATGATCTAATAAAATAATTAGTCAATAACAACATTTGAACCNATTTTTTCTTTTACCAGTATAAAAATAAAAAAATGATCTAATAAAATAATTAGTCAATAACAACACTTGAACCAGTATTTTAAAATCTGACGAATTCTGTTTTTTTTTTCTAATTTATTATTAATTAATGAATAATAAATATTAATTAATCAATTTTTACCAATTGATCTCAATATATCAAGTAGTGTTTCTACGAAGTTACAAGTTATTGTGATGAATACTTTTTTTAATAGGTTCAACTTAAGTTCAGGATGTCAACTTGCATTACATTCCCCAAATTTTANTGTCAACTTGCATTACATTCCCCTAATTTTAATTTTTATACTAAAGGGAATTTTAAATAGCTATAAAATATCAATATTTCACTATTTTATAAAATATTTCAGTCGAATAATTTCATCACTTATAATGAATTATAAATTAAATAGTTAAAAATATTTCGTGGAACAGATTAAGAACCTTACAGAATAAAAAATATATTGATTCAACTCTTATTTTCATTTTTGATAACATTGTACTAATTATTTCACGACGTATCGTATTAAATCTTTTTGTTTAAAATAAAATATAAAACGAACTATTTTCAATGTCTCATTATATATTAATTAATTAAAATTTTCTTCATTACCATTGAATTTTTCCAGTTTCTTTATTATTTTTTTTGTGTTCTTGTCTTTAATTTCTTTTAAGTTTTTTAAGATATCTTTAATGAAATAAATCTCTGTTGAATCTGGGAAAATTTGCTCAATCATTGGCTTTATTTTTTCAGGTATCTCATACCCCTTGATATTTGAAAAAAAAAAAAATTAAAATCTTTTACAAGTAGAAATTTATATGAAATGCAAGTATTTACTACAAACGCAGTACTAAGCGTTTAACAGCTGGTTAACCCATACTGACGCTGAACATATTTAAGTTCTCAGATAGTATTGCAAAACATTAACATATGAGAGTTATAATAGAATTGAATACGAGTAGTTGTCAGTACCAAATTATGAACGAGCCCTTGGTAAATGTCTGCTCAAGAATAATGAAATGACAGAGTAAAATTAAAAAACTAATAATTATTTGGACAAATACTTTGTATGTTCTTGACATTTTATAGTGATTGACTATACTTCCTCTTACCTAGATATAAAAATGGCAGTAACTACCGAAGTATTCGTCAAATATTGTTATCGATCAGTCGTTTTCTTAATTAGTACATTATATATTAAATTAGCTAGTAATTTATGTATGTTGCCTTTAGAAAAAATAAAGTTTACACTCCTATAATTTATAATGGATGATATTAAAAAGAATCGAATAGCTGGATAAATCAAGAAATATATATAAATAAAAATTTTTTTTTCAATATTGTTTCTATTTTGCGAGTAATGGAATGGTTTATGATGAACTCATTATTTAATATACATTGAAGCCATATTCGTAACACCTTACCGTACAGACCGTTTTGCCACCTAACAAACACTATTCCACTGGACTCACCTATTGGTCAAACCATCATTTTTAAAACAGCTCTCACAGTTACAACCGTACAATTTAGTAGGTTCTTTTGTAATTCAGTATTTATTTATTATCTTTTTGTGAGATAACAATAAATGGCTCGACGTTAGTGGTTATATCATGAACTTTATTTCGCCTATAGTTATTGTGTTCTGCATATCCATCAGTATCAACATTTACCCATGTTGTTGCTTTTTTAATTAAAATAAAATAATCATGAAAAGTTGTAACGTATCAAAACTACAAATACTCAGTTTTAAATTTATGCTCGTAAAATACCTATTATATAATATTATAAATATTTATATATTCCTTTTAAGTTGACAGAAGTGAGTAGGATTCTAGTTCAGGGTATGCTGCTAAAGAGAAGAAACCTCCCAAGTTTTTTATTGTTGCTCATCATTTGGAGTAGGGCTAATATTTCCTTACTTTACCCTAGTCACTTCTCTGCCGTTTAGTTTCATATACCATTACTTGCATTGCACCTACACGCACCTGACATATGAGTTCCACACCACCCTTATGGTACTTACTTATTTTTGGTGCCTATCAACGTTTGTGCTTAGCCTTTGCTATATACCGTGGGGTCAACGTCAATTATTAATTATTATTAATTATCTAGAGGTATATAAGTAAGTGTTGTTTTCGTTCGGGGTGTCAATATGTGTTTAGTGTTGATAATGGTATCATTGATTCCAAAATACGTATCCCGCGCCAATTTTAATAATTTTTTAGCTTTTTGAAATATTTAATATTTAAATATTTTTAATATAATATTGATATTGAACAATATTGAAGACAAGTTATCAATTTAATTGTAAAATTCTATCGTTAATTATTAAAAAAAGTTAGGAGACCTTAAAAAGAAAAAGTGGTGAAATTTTCAAATCTTAAGTATAAATACATCGATACTGGGGTATTTTTCTGAAATACCGATTTTATAAATCTAATTTTATCTAACATTTATATATATATTTTAATTTTTATGCTAAGAAACTCATGGGTGAAATTGAAAAAAGATGGTCGCCCATCTACTTTTAATAATTTAATGTGGATGAATAAATTTCTCTTATGAATTTTTAATCAAGAAAAAGTAGATTTTTTTTAAATAGTTATATTTTATAAAATTATTAGGTTTTGTTTAAAAATTCGATATAATAATATTTACCTCATCAGTACTTATTTCTTGAATAGAAATTTCATTATTCGTTCTGAATAAAGCTTCTCTAATCTGATAAAAAAATATAATATCATTAATTTGCTTGAAAGATTATTTATAATGTTAATATTGTATGCAACTGGTAATAAACGTTTTAGAATATTGTTTTTAAAGCATTATTTTAAAAAATGAATCTTATTAAATAATTATACATTATCTTGTTCGTAAATTTTATATTAATATTAATATTTTATACATATTTAACGAATTTTAATATTATTGACTAGCTAATGTGTTTCTTTATGAATTTATAGTACAATTATTTTTTTTTTTAAACGTACATCATTTTTCGTTTTTTTAAGTTCTTGTTCTAGTAAAGGTTGTACTTTTCTGCAGTAATCTTGAAATAAATCAAAAGAATCATTCATCTAACACATAAAATAATTTTATTAAATTGCATTTTTTTAAATAAAAATAATACAATTTGAATGTGAAATTTACTGTATCTTTATGTGTTGGTTTGCATAACGAAGAAATAACACAAAAAAACTCAAAAACTAAATAAATTTGCCAACGCATTTTACAATTTCTTATAATTTTTTTATGAAATAAAAAATATATTTTGATATTGTAAATAATATAGTACAAAGTATCTTTTAAATTTCAGTAATTTAAGTTAATTTTGAAAAAAAATTAAGTATAATATGGGTTTATATACTAGAAAATGGAAAAAATATTGTTTACTTTTTGTATTTGTTAAATTCAAATTTATCGTGTACAAATAAAGTTAAATATAAATTATTACAACACCTTGTGATTTGTTAACCATTACTGTGATCGTGGAAGTTGTATGTGGTTGATATGTAAAACATACTTGTAATAAACCAAAAAGAATAATAATATAAGTTCATAAAATAGGGAGAGATGTTTAAAGATGAAATGGAATAGTTAGTATCGTAACTCGAAATAAAATAAAAGGGAGAAAATAATATCTAGGTGAGTGAGTTGAGTAAAAGAAAAGAGTTACTTTATTTCGGGGACTTGTCCGAGGGTTATAAAATGACATAAATTTAGACTCTTATTGATTTTTAAAATCTTACTTGATAATTTTCCTGTTTCTTACAATATCATTATTAAATAATATCATAATCAATAATTAAAACAAATCAATTCAGTTTGCAACTTTAACACTTGAGAAATTTGACTATGATGATTATAAATTATGCGTGATGATATTGAGAGTTCGATTATAACAGAGCTCGAATATCTGGAGACAGACTCTCTCAAGCCCTCAGCACTGACTGCCTTTTATAGTATTTAGTGTCCCCGAACAGTCATCACTGCGTCATTCTTGCAATGTAATTATTTTATTGACAAGTAATCATCAAATATATAAATTAATATACNAATTATTTTATTGACAAGTAATCATCAAATATATAAATTAATATACAGAATAGCATAAAATATATGAATTAATACATTCGAATAATATAGCTTGTTAATATATTTAATATAGCTTGTTTTTATATATAAGTTTAGGGTTTTACACATCGTGTTTTATTATTAAGATAAGAGTAAAAAGAGCTGACAAGAATAGTTTATGAATTTCTTAAAGAAAAACAATCGTGTTATTCTAAGCTCATGTAGTAGCTCAAAAAGAGAGAATTAAATAAAATAACTATAAAAGGGATTGGTGAGTTGTTTAAGCTATTACTTTTATTGTATTAATAATATTGCTCGGTGAATGAGTACGAGGGTCTGTAAGAAAGATAGAAAACGATACAAAAATAAAATGATCTTTATTATATTAATATGAGATTTATTGTGATTAATTGCCAATTCATTAATATCAATAATGCCACGAGTTTTGATGGTTATCGATGATAGGTGGAACTGAGTCACCTCGTGTGTCTACCAAAAGTGGTATGGTGGTTATATATGAACCTCCAACCTAACTCCAAAAACAGATACGTATCAAAGATATAACTCTGCCAAGTTGC